TCTACGAGATCATAATATGATGACTTTAATTCAGAAACATTCGGAATCCGAGCAAGTATCTAAATTTGCCCAACAAACTTCTTATTGTTTTTGTTGTTTCGGTTATATGATGATCCCATCTGAGATGGGAGTCAATGGTTAATCCAAGATATTACCACATATACCTTCATATCCTGAAAGATAGGTAAAATATCAGAGTAAAACTAACTGTATCGTCAGCAAAACAGACAAATTCTCCGGATGATTTCAATGTTAGTCAACTATTCAAATATATTACAAATGAAATATATATTTTGTCACGCCACATCGAACTCTTATTGAGGTGCTCATTAAGTTATCAATTTTAACACACTGAGTTCTTTGGAATAGGTATGACTCAGATAATTTATATGGTTTTTCGCGTACTTCTGAATTCCACCAATTGTGTATGATCGACAGTGTCAAATGCTAGATTTTTATTTGCCCCTCGATTTGGCCAGATCGATTAACACTGCCATATATATGATATATGATAATAAACACAATATATAAATTTTTTATTAGTCTTTTTAACCCTATTATGTAGTTTGTTTCATTTTAACGTTATTTTCTGGGTTATGGTTCAAATCATCAGAGGAACATATGATTATAATTATAGTAATAATAGTTTTTTATTATATGGAAAATTCATACCAAAGGCTATTGACCTTAGATCCTTCACCCTGTTTAAAATATAGTGATATTTTAATTTTAATGAATTAGTTCATGACATGCTTAGTGCTTCCAGTAGCGTGTCAGTAAGGAATCTTCATCTTACATAGTTCATGTTGTAAGTATTATGGGACATCGCTAAAATATTCTCCAGTTTGCTCAGTGTTGTATGGAACTATCCATGTTTCTGAAGCCGATTTTTTATTGGTTCTATGCTTGTTCTTGAATACTCGTAGAGCTCATAAGTGGGGTTGTGTAGTTTGTTCAGTGGGTGTCTTATTCGTGTAATGGTACACAGATTTTCGCAGATTCTATAGATTCTGTGTGCATATTCTGGTATATGTCTACATATGGTTCTGTATATTTCAACTGCACCCTCAATACTTATTCCTCTTCTTCCATAGTTTAGGCATCTGAAATAATAATAATAATAATATTAATAATAATAATAATAATAATAATAATAATAATAATAATAATAATAATAATAATAATAATAATAATAATAATAATAATAATAATAATAATAATAATTTAAATATTAACATTTATTCCCAACAGATTCACATCCAATTACAGAGAAATAATAATGAATTGTACACAAATAATAATAAATAAGAAAAAAGAACGAGAAAAAAAAACAAAAAAGAGAGTATAAGCGAATATATAACTACAACGAAAATATTAAATTAAAATAAATTGAAATAGTATTGAACAATCACCGGAAGACTAAAAATAAAATAAAATATTGTCTATTACAAAGTTACGTATGGTCAGCAGAAGTTGACCATATAGTAACGATATGGTCAACGATATGGTTTTAAATTAAAATAAAATTGAAATCTATTGCAATAAAATCGATTTGCTATCTAGTTAACAAAAGAGGTAACTAAAATTGAAGTAGTATGTAGACAACAGAAGTTCAGGAAAATATCACATCGACCGCAACACCCTTCATAAAGATTACATATACAGTTGATAGGAGAACGTGACATAACATTTGATCTGCTGTAAGTGACATAAAATGTATTATTCTGCCTCAGACCAGGCCTTGGTACGCAAATATTCATTTTGCTGAGAAGAAATGATGAGTCTCCGAATAAATCCACTGTACTGCGAGTAGTACGGCGTTTTCATTGTGCCAAGATTAATGAAGCTGCCCCAATTTCTGACCAAATAACCCAGCATCCTAGAAGTAGAAGCCGTAATACAAGTTATATGTTCAGAGAAGGACAGCTTATAGTCGAAAAGTAATCCCAGATCCTCAAACTCAACACATCTATCTAGAAGTTTATCTAGATGTTTTTCTCTTGTTATGGTTTTCTTCTTTATTGATTCTGTGTGAGAGTTGAAATTTAATTTATTGTCGAACAGTATTTACAGATATTTCAAGAATGATGATGTTTTTACACTCATTCCGTTTATTGCTACGGTAATTTTGTGTGATCTTATGGTTGTAAATATCTTATTGACACTTATTAGGGTTAGACTGTAGTTGTCACTTCGAAAACTATTCATTTGTTTTGTCTATTAGCTCCTCTATTTTGCTAGTGCATTTTTCTATTGTTTTTTCATGAAATACCAACAAAGTCTAATCTACATATTGTACAACAAACATACTGACTTTTGCTGACTTCAGAGCAAATATCGGAGAAGTATATATTGTGAAGCAGCGGAGACATAACTGATCCTTGAGGTGCTCCATGTTCTTGGGAGAAATATCTAGATGTTTCGTGTATTCTGTCAGCTGTCTGTTTTCTGAAAACATTTTTATTATTCTTATAAGATATTTGGGCGTATTCATTTTCTTGAATTCATATTTTAGTCCCTTGTGTCAAGTGCAATGAAATGTTTTACAAATGTCTAGAGCCACTTATTCACTTTTCATATTATTCAACTGAACATTTTGAATATTTTATGTCAGTATTGTAAGTGGATGTACAGTAGGTTTGTTGTTGCGGAATCCAAACTGGAAAGCCAGTTTATGGTATTTTTCTTATTTTGTTTTGTTTATATTTTCAAATAATATCTTTTACCAAAGCACTGGTAGTAGAGTGACGTCCTGTATTTTTGACTCATGTTTTATTCCAGGTTAGGTTTTGCAATTGCCGTTATAGTGCCAGTTTTCCTGTTTGAGGGAAAATATGGTTTTATAAAATTATTTAAGAAAAATAATTTCAATAGTTCCCCATTGAGAAAGCTGAAAATTGGTGCTAAAATCTGAAGAAAATAAAGAGCCAACCCTCAATGCATCTGAATCTTGATAAACCTTTCTACTCTAGGATTGAATTGAATTCTAAATCCTCATTTAATTTCACAACATCGTCCACATATTTTGCATTCATTTTGTTAAGCGGTCTCATATTAAATTTCACGTAATTTGTATATCCAAACACGCTGGTATGCCCAGCCACCAGGAGATTATAATGTTCAATTTCTTCATCAGGAAAATGAAACCTTGAATTCGTTAGGGTTATCACATTCTTGTGAGTATGCGCAGACTTTAGTGGTAGTTGCAAAGAATTTGGTGTCAGTAAATGGAATTCATGTTTTAATGAATTGAATCTTCAGAAAATGATATTTTTCTGAAGAATTTAGTTCTTTGGAAAGCTTAGAAAGTTCTGAAATATTTTATGTTGCCTCTCTGATGCACATATTTCAGTTGAATGAAATTATTAGAATTGAAATCCCTGAAATAATTCTCAGCAAACACATTTTTGTTTCAGTCAATTACTTGATTTTCCTTTCTTTGAATTCTTAGAACAATGCTTTCGAAGATAACAGTTACTTCCATAAGTTTTAAACTTTATGGCCTTGTTACTTGATGTAAATCCTTTCAAGTTTGAAATGACAGAGAGAATATCGTTTCATAGGCAATTCTCTGCATCTCGAACAAGAATAGTCAAAGAATAAATTAAGAAATGGAAGGCTCAAGTACTTATAATTGGTAGTCATTTACTAATAATTTTTCGGACTTTTGATACGTGTTTATTTGCGCTGATTCCAAAAATGAGATTGTAGCCCTTCATTCAGAGAATGTAATATTCAATTTGCTGAATTGAATCAATGATTCTGCTGTTACAGATGATTGGCGTAATTTGAAATGTTTTGCATTATTTCGGAAATCATTATGTTCGTTTATTCGAATACTCAAATTAAGGTATGCTCCACCAGTACGGATAAATAATGATAATAATAACAGGTATAATACCCAATTACAGACACTAATAACATAATGATGAATAATAACTGAATAAATAAAATGAAAAAAATATAACAACGAGCTCTAGTTTGAGCTGAATCTAAAGAAAACCTAAATTGTAACTTATAACTGAATACTAGAATTGAATGAAATATTACAATGACCTCAATCTAAATCAATTCATTCAAGTCGATTTCTTTTGCTCACAAAACTCCTAATAATAACTTCTAGGAAGTCAAAGTGAATGTCACAATTATTAGCAACGTTATTGAGTGTAGACTCCATAAACCAAAAGGGGGATTGTCTTAGAGACTTGGTCCTTGGAGTCTTTAGGTGGAATGATTCTGTACTACGAGCTTTTTGCCGAGGAACACGAAATTTAAAAGAGAACAAGAGATGAGGACAAACAATACTGTTATGCAGTAATTTGTACAAGAATTTGAGTGATAAAGTTCCTCTTCTGCCTGCAATGAGATTAAACTAAATATACTCAATAATTCGTCATGATTGACTCCTCTCTGTGGATAAACTTTATTCTCCCTCCAAACTAAGGATTTCAAGAACCTTCTCTAAATGGACTCAAGATAGCGTTGATGGCAAGTGTAAATATGATGCCATTCTCCAACTTGCTACGGATTAGGGCATTAAATAGTCCTGTGAATGTTGAGGAATTGTTGAGATATTTGCCATTGCATATAACGAATTATATTTTTCAGGCAGATGAGATAATTTTTTATTTTTTTCATTTAATAGTGTTGGCGTTTACTTGATGTGAATCCATTATAAATGAATATAAACTTAAATTCAAACACTTGAACTTATGATTTACACTTTATTGACTTCATAGCATGACGCGTTTCGTCGTTACAAACGACTTCTTCAGATGCTTACAGAATAATATCATATTATCACAGAATAATATCAGAATAATGATAAATAAGTTCAAGTGTTTGAATTAAAGTTTATATTCAGATAAGATAAGTTGGGTGATGTCTGGAATGAAGGAAAGTTTCTGATTTTTTCGTGTTAACCAACCACGTGCGGGCATGAATAATGTATTGATATTTTTATAGTGAAAATTGAGAATTGAAATTACATTTCAAAAGTTTGGAACTCGACTGGGATTCGAACTCAAGTCTTTAGGTTAACGCCCCACTGCTTTGGGCCACTAAGCTACCGAGGTCTACACTTTGAGATGCAACTTGAATTCATATATAACACTCTTTTATTCGTCAAGCTAGTTATTCGACGCTCGGATTGTCGTCTACGATACTTGCAGGTGAAAGTAAGTGACACCACACCTACTTATCCTCTTAGATGTATTAATTTTTCCTTAAGGAACAATGATAAATATAGTACAGTAATTTTTTCGTGTTAACGAACCACGTGCGGACATGAATAATGTATTAATATTTTTATAGTGAAAATTGAGAATTGAAATTAAATTTCAAAAGTTTTGAACTCGACTGGGATTCGAACCCAGATGTTCATGTTTACGCCCCACTGCTTTGGATCGCTAAGCTACCGAGGTCTACACTTTGAGATGCAACTTCAATTCATATATAACACTCTTTTATTCGTCAATTCAACGCTCGGATTGTCGTCTTCGATACTTGCAGGCGAAAGTGAGCTTAGCGGTCCAAAGCAGTGGGGCGTAAACCTGAAGACCTGGGTTCGAATCCTAGTCGAGTTCAAAACTTTTGAAATGTAATTTCAATTTCAATTTTCACTATAAAAATATTGATACATTATTCATTTCCGCACGTGGTTGGTTAACACGAAAAAATTACTATAAAATATATGATATATATATTGGTTATATACTGTATATATATATATATATATATATATATATATATATATATATATATATATATATATATATATATATATATATATATATAATAATATAATTTTATTGAGAAACATTCCTTACATAGTAAAATTACTTTCATTTCAATTGATACAATAATTACAACTAAGAGAAATGCTCTCAAAAGGACCGAATTCAGTTTGGAGTCTGATCTTCCATTCAGCCCTCGAGCAAAAATATTGGTTCAAACAAAAATCTTGGTTGAATTCATATTTACAGTAATATACAATTTTGATTGGAAAAAAAAAGAAAATAAAAATTTCCTCAGAGATATTAAACATTTGAGACAATTTCACATGGGGAAGAACATGTGTTAAAAATCTATACAAATATATGATACAAAAAATTGATTCATACATTATTGCCTGCATCCGAATCATCGAAGTACTCTGCCACACTATAGTATGCCTTTGTTAAGAGCAGAGATTTAACTCTCCTCTTAAACAAATGAGCTTTCAGTACTTTCAAATTCGATGGTAAATGGTTGAAAATTTTAATGCTCTGACAATAGAGAGAGTGCTCAAATTTAGCTGTTTTAAGCATAGGAATAAGTAGCACATCCCTGTTTCTTGTTGAATACTCATGATTACTATTCAATTTAATAAACCTATCTTCATTTTCTTTAACATATAATAAACATCTATAAATATATAAACACGGTAAGGTAAGTATGTGATTATCAATGAAGATAGGTTGACAAAATGTTCGCTGATGAATATTGAATATTAATCGAAGTATCTGCTTCTGTATAATAAACACCCTATTTATCTCTGTAGAGCAGCCCCACAGCAGAATATTATAATTTAGATGATAATATACAAGACTGTAATACACATTCATAACACAGTTTCTAGGTACGATGTTCTTGATTTTAGAGATTGCAAAAAATGAGTTACTCAATTTTTACATAAGACCTCAATGTGTGATGTCCATCTCAAATTTCTGTCTACATATATTCCAAGAAACTTCGTTGATTGGGATGATGATAAAGTGTTGTCCCCATATTCAACATCCAAGGTACTAATTTCATTGCCCTTCAGACAAAACTGAACACATAGAGTTTTGTCAACGTTCACCATCAGATTGTTCATTTGACACCAACTTACAAGCTCCCTCACAATGCATTCACATGACAGTAGAAGATCTTCAGGTGTCGTGCCAGAAACAACCACCGATGAATCACCGGCAAATAGAATCACCAAAAACCAGGACAACTTCGCAGGCAGATCGTTTATGAACAATATGAATAGAAGAGGTCCGAGTACAGAGCCTTGCGGCACACCAAGAGCAATATCATGTCTCTGAGAATAACTCTCACCTATTTTCACTACCATTGTTCTTTCTTCTAGATAACTACGTAACCAATTCAGAAACACACCTCTGAAAGCTAAATCATAGCATTTATCAAGTAAAAATTCGAAGGATAGTGAATCAATTGCGGAAGATAAATCAAAAAATAACCCCGCCACAAACAAGTGTTTATCCAAACACTCGTTGACGGATTCAAAAAACTTAACCGCAGCTGACTGAGTTGAGTGGCCGCTTCTGAATCCATGTTGTGCGGAATCAATTATTTTGAATCTATTGAGATAACTCATCATTCTGGCGAAAACAATTTTCTCTATGACCTTGGAAAACACGATCAAAATGGATATTGGGCGATAATTAGTAATTTCACTCACGGTTCCATTCTTAAATACTGGAATTACTATGGATTGCTTAAGGATATTGGGAAACTTTGCAGTAGTGATGGAAACATTTATAAGATATGCAAAGTGCTCGCCAATAATTCCACTAATTCCTTTCAAAACTTTGCCTGATATGGAATCAACATCGACGCTTTTTTCATTTTTCAAGGCTCTAATGGTATCCTCAACTTCAATTTTAGTGAAAGGGTAAAGTAAAAATTGGTGTTCACCATGGGTGATAATGTGCAAATCCGAGATAGATTATTGCCATATCGAGATGTTAATTTGATACTAGCCATTGTGGAAAAATGTTCGGTGAAAACATCAGCTAACTGATTCGGATCGTCAAACACCTTCCCCTCAAAGTTTGAGGTCACATCACTTCGCCTACCGCCACTTTCCCAGAAAGATCGTTAACAATATTCCAAATTGTTTTATTTCTGTTCGATGAACCATCAATAGCTGAACTATAAATATGTATATATATATATATATATATATATATATATATATATATATATATATATATACATATAGAGGGGTCCCCACAAAAATCATCACAGGGTAAAATTTATTCGAAATAGGCCGAAAAACAAGCACATTGTATAAGATATATATAGCAGATCGAAAAAATATTTCAGTGGTATCTTAGAAAAAGCAGAAAACGCCGTGGAATATCGATTGTTTCTACTCATTTCTTCCAGTTAATATTTTAGGATTGTGAAAAACGTTTGTAGAAAGCATCCGTGCTTCATGAGAAATTCTTCAATGAGCATTTAGAAAAAGGAAAAACGATTTGACGTCATGTAAGGCAGATAAAAATGCACCAGTCAGTGCCATTTCTAATTTTACTTAATTGGATGTAATGAGATTGAGAAAGACGTATTTACTTGGAGTCGACAACCAACTGCATCATTTGAAGTTAATCGATTCTTGTAATAAATAACAAAAAAATAAAATCCTTCTGATACTCGTTATGTAGCCAATTTGAAAGGTTGGGTTTTTCTATTCATCTCAATTGGTGCTATCCTTTCGCTTGCTCTTATAACCATTCCTTTGAGATTTTTTTCATTTCTGTTATTAACGAACGATTTTCTATAACTCCTTTAAATAGGACATCTTTAAAATATCGAGAACGCGTTTGAGCAATTTTTATGAGGAATATAACTCTACACAGTACTTCCACAGAATAAATTCTACTTCACAAAATAGTAGGACTTACTATTATAAAAACCTAAATCGAAACACTGAAAATAGTATTAGGACCGATGGATTCTAAATCAACCTTTACTCACATATGATTCACACCATGGAGCACTTAAGTCGAGAAAATCTCCTGATTTTCTAACTCTTTTAGATCTAAGCCCCATAAATAATAGTAAAGAAGAAATAATAGTAGAGATTGAATGATGAAGAGAATTAAAATTTTCATTCCAATAAAAGGTAGCAAATAAAAATTCAAAAAATACACAGACATCAATATTAATGTTATAAGGTTGAGCTAGTTTATTGTTGCAATTTGAGTGAAATTTCGAAATAATTCTCCTCTGAATTATGACACATCTTCATGTCGGTCAACAAGCCTGCATATTCTTATATTTTCACGAAATCTCCACCCTCAAAACACTTACCTTAAACAAAACACTTACTATGAGTCCCAAAAAATATTTTTCACTCTTTATTTCGAATTTTCTGGGTGTGTAAATTACTTAAATTTCTTACTGTATCATATTTTCAACGAGTGAACTAAACAGCACACATAAATCTCGATATCTCACTAGGGAGTCGAACCGGGATCTACGGGCGGACCTTCACTCTCATCTATGAACACAAAACTTATTTCAAGTGAATTGAGTACCTTCTGTAATAATGGGTGATTTTCTAGCGTAGTTTCTTTCAAATCGAATAAAACACTCAATTTGCAACATATATTCAAAATTGTCATTGAAATTGATAACTTGGCCGTTGCCATTTACATTTTAAAGATAACTTCATGTAAATGTTGTCCGCGGCTCCGTATCAAATGGTCCATTCGGAAGGTCCAATTTAGCATCACTTTTTCGAGCATTTCGGCCTGTATCCCACAAATTACGCGTGTTATGTTATCCCGTAAGGCTTCAATCGTGTTCGGCTTGTCCACATACACTAACAACTTCACATAACCTCACAAGAAATAATCCAGAGGCGTCAAATCGCATGATCTTTGCGGCCAATTCACAGGACCATTTCGAGAGATAAGCTGCTCACCACATTCATCCTTCAACATGTCCATTGTTTCACATGTGTGGCATGTGGCACCGTCTTGATGAAACCACATGTCAACCAAGTTCAACTCGACCAACTGGCCCAAAAAAAAGTTGCGTATCATGGCTCGATATCGTTCGCCGTTGACGGTAACGTTTATTTGAAGAAAAATGGACCGATGATGCCACCAGCCGATAAGCCACACCAAACGTTTTTTCGGGATGCATCGGTAATTATTGTATGGCATGTGGCTGTTCATCGCTCCAGATGCCACAGTTTTGTTTATTAACATATCCGTTAAGCCAGAAATGAGCCTCATCGGTGAGCACAACTTTTCGATAAAACAGCGGATTTTCATTGAGCTGTTCTGAGCCCCATT